TATTTAAAGTAAAAGTTTACGAACGATGGACGGCCAGACGCCAAACGAAAAGTGATCACAAAAGCTAACAATGTCACTTTGTGACAGGTGAGCTAAAAATGGATGGCACAGTTATGTAACTTGGCAATATCATGTAATTTGTATAAATAAGTTAGTGTGGTAATTATGAAGCTATTAGTATATATAGAACTTAAGATATATCCAACTTGCCGTTTTAGGTTAACAAATTATTAATTTTCTAAGTGCTGAAAATAGCAATAACTTGGTAACAAGACGGCCATGATGGCCCTGAAGTCGCTAACCTGTATATAGGCCCCCAGAGCGGGGCCAGTTTAAACCCCCAGGGCTTTTACTTTAACAAACTTGGAAGACACCCATTAGAAGATGTTTCATGCTAAACATCTAAGGTCTAGCTCATTGAGTTTTTTAAAAAAAAGATTGTTTAAGTTTTAACTATACTCATATAGTTAAAAGCAATTACACCCCCAGGGCGGGGCCAGTTTTGACCCCAGGGCTTTTATTTGAACAAACTTTAAAGACACTCACTAGAAGACGTTTCATGCTTAATATCTAAACTCTAGGTATTTGGGTTTTTCCAAAGTAGATTTTTAAGTTTTTGTTATACACATATAAGGAAAGCAATGTCCCCCAGAGCAGGGCCAATTTTGACCCTAGGGCATTTATTTGAACAAACTTTGAAGACACTAACTGGAAGATGTTTCATGCCAAATATCTAAGCTCTACCTCTTTGGGTTTTTTAAAAAAAGATTTTTTTTAAAGTATTTGCTTTACAAATATAAGGAAAATCAATGACCCCCAGGGCAGGGCCAATTTGACCCCAGGGCTCTTATTTGAACAAATTTAATAGACACCCATTAGAACATGTTTCATGCTAAATATCTTAGCTCTAGCTCTTTGGGTTCTTTAAAAGAAGATTTTATAAGTTTTTATTATATGCATATATGGAAAATCAATGACTCCTTGGGGCGGGGCCAATTTTGACCCCAGGGCTTTTATTTGAACAAACTTGATAGACACTCATTAGAAGATGTTTCATGCTAAATATCTTAGCTCTAGCTCTTTGGGTTATTTAAAAGAAGATTTTATAAGTTTTTATTATATGCATATAGGGAAAATCAATGACCCCCTGGGGCCGGGCAAATTTTGACCCCAGGCCTTTTATTTGAACAAACTTGGTAGACACCCATTAGAAGATGTTTCATGCTAAATATCTTAGCTCTAGCTCTTTGGGTTCTTTAAAAGAAGATTTTTTAAGTTTTTACTATATGCATATAGGGAAAATCAATGACCCCCGGGGCGGGGCCAATTTTGACCCCAGGGCTTTTATTTGAACAAACTTGATAGACACTCACTAGAAGATGTTTCATGCCAAATATCTAAGCTCTACCTCTTTGGGTTTTTTAAAAGAAGATATTTTAAGTTTTTTTCTATTGCCGGTTGCCATGGCAACCAGAGTTCTGCATGGAATTAAATTCTTTGAACAATTTTTAAAGGTAATCACCAAAGGAACATTCCTGTGAAGTTTGGATGAAATTGGCTCAGTGGTTTATGAGGAGATGTCATTTAAAGTAAAAGTTTACGGACGACCGACGGACAGACGCTGGACGAAAAACGATCACAAAAGCTCACCCTGTCACTTTGTGACAGGTGAGCTAAAAATGGCAGCCATAGTTATGTTACTTGCCCAGATCATGAACATTGTGTTCATAAGTAAGTGTGTAAAGTATAAAGCCATTGGTATAGGTAGTACATAAGAAAAATCCAATTTGCTTTTCTCAGGTTTGAACCTAGTATGGACAGATGGACGGTTCAATTACTATATGCATGGGGGAATAAAAATAAATATTAAACACAAAAAAATCAATTATTTGACCTTGACGGTCAAGGTCATGGTCAGTTCAACCTTTCAGAAGGTCTTGTCCAAATTGTTGTTTTGTCAAAGTATGAAGATAATCCATTTTTTTAATAACCAAGTTACAGTCAATTAAAGCCAAATTCAGTGAAAATTCAATAATTTAACTTTCAAGGTCAACGTCATAAAAAGGCCAAGGTTAATTTGATTATACATGAAGGTCTTATCCTAAAGACTGTTCTGTTATAATATGAAGTCAATCCATTCAATAATAACAAACTTGCAGCCAGATACATCAAAAAAAATGAAAATTTCATTAATTTAACTGTCAAGGTCATGTGAGTGAAGGTCAAGGTCTGTCTGGTCAACTTAAAGGGCTACCCTTAATGATTATTATGTTTAAGTTTGAAGACAATCCATTTAAAAATAAAATAATAGCGACTAAAAGCAAGAAACAAGTGAAGTTTGAACACTTGACCTTAAAGGTCAAGGTCATTTATAGATCAAGGTCAAGGTTAGTCTAGTCTACTGAAAGGTATTGTCCCAAGGGTTGATATGGCCAAGTATGAAGACAATACACAAAGAACTTAAACAAGAGGGCCATGATGGCCCTAGATCGCTCACCTGACTTATCAAACTCATCCAAACAATTACCTAGACAAGCATTCTGACCAAGTCTCATGACAGGTGAGTCAAAAATGTGACCACTACAGTGTTAACAAGGATTATCCATATTTGTGCAGTGCGACCTAGTTTTTTACCCAGGTGACACATATTCAAACTTTACCTAGAAATCATCAAAACAAACTTTCAGACCAATTTCCAGGATACTTGGATCAAAACAGTAGCAACTAGAGTGTTAACAAGATTTTTCTATTTTTAGCTCCGGTGACCTAGTTTTACATACGATTTCAAACTCATCCAAGCAACTACCTAGACAAGCATCCTGACCAAGTTTGATGATAATTGAGTCGAAAATGTGACCACTAGAATGTTAACAAGGTTTTTCCATATTTGGGCGGTGTGACCTAGTTTTTCATCCAAGATGACCCATGTTCGATCTTGACTTAGAAGTCATCAAAACAAACTTTCAGACCAATTAACAGAATATTTAGATCACAACAGTGGCCACTAGAGTGTTAACAAGATTTTTCTATTTTTAGCTCCTGTGACCTAGTTTTTCATCCGAGATGTCCCATGTTCGATTTATTCCCAGCAATGACCTAGACAAGTTTCCTGACCAAGTTTGATGACAATTGAGTCAAAATTGTGACCACAAGAGTGTTAACAAGATTTTTCTATATTTAGCTCCTGTGACCTAGTTTTTCATCAGAGATGACCCATGTTCGAACTCATCCAAGCTTTCACCTAGACAAGCATCTTGATCAAGTTTGATGATGATTGGTGCAAAAATGTGACCGCTAGAGTGTTAACAAGGTTTTTCTATTTTTAGCTCCGGTGACCTACTTTTTCATCCGAGATGACCCATGTTCGAACTCATCCGAGCTATCACCTAGACAAGCATCTTGACCAAGTTTGATGATGATTGATGCAAAAATGTGACCCCTAGAGTGTTAACAAGGTTTTTCTATTGTTAGCTCCGGTGACCTACTTTTTCATCCGAGATGACCTATGTTCAAACTCATCCAAGCTATCAATTAGATAAGCATCCTGACCAAGTTTGATGATGATTGATGCAAAAATGTGACCGCTAGAGTGTTAACAAGGTTTTTCTATTTATAGCTCCGGTGACTTAGTTTTTCATCCGAGATGACCCATATTCAAACTCATCCGAGCTATTATCTAAACAAGCAACCTGACAAAGTTTGATGATGATTGGGTCAAAAATGTAACCACTAGAGTATTCACAAGGTTTTTCTATTTTTAGCTCCTGTGACCTAGTTTTTCATCAGAGATGACCCATGTTCGAACTCATCCAAGCAATTGACTAGACAAGCATTCTGACCAAGTTTGATGATGATTGGTTCAAAAATGTGACCACTAGAGTGTTCACAAGGTTTTTCTATTTATAGCTCCTGTGACCTACTTTTTCATCCGAGATGACCCATGTTCGAACTCATCCGAGCTATCACCTAGACAAACATCCTGACCAAGTTTGATGATGATTGGGTCAAAAATGTGACCTCTAGAGTGTTCACAAGGTTTTTCTATTTTTAGCTCTTGTGACCTAGTTTTTCATCCGAGATGAGCCATGTTCGAACTCATCCGAGCTTTCAACTAGATAAGCATCCTGACCAAGTTTGATGATGATTGAGGCAAAAATGCGACTGCTAGAGTGTTCACAAGCAATTGTGGACGTACGACGGACGACGGACATTCACCGATCCTAAAAGCTCACCCTGAGCAAGCTCAGGTGAGCTAAAAAGTTATGATCAACATACAAGCTTGCAAGCGCTAATTTTAATGTATTTTTGGCCACATCTCAGCGCTCAATTTGCCTTACCAGCTATCATTAATTTCCAATTTCTTTGCAAGTGACAAATGACCATAATTTTAATGTCAGGGTTAAATTGTTAGAGAAATTACAAAATACAAATCCAATGCTCTCCCTATTGAGCTAAGCCGTTGGACACAAATGAGAGAAATACCAGAAGGGTTCTTGTCACAAAGACAAAATTATGTCTCCCAAAACTATGTATGGTCACTCATGTGAAGTTTCATTGAAATCCCACCAGCAGCTTGACTTATGAAAGTACGACAAGATTTTTTTCTATTTTTAACTCTGGCTGCCATTTTGTACAGCGAAGCAGAACGTGCCAGTGATGTGCACAACTAGGGATGGTACTGATCACTCCTGTAAAGTTTGGTTGAAATCCCATCAGTAGTTTGACCTGTGAAGGCCGGACAAGATTTTTCTATTTTTAGCTCTTGCAGCCATAATGAGCAGTGAAGGGGAATGTGCCGGTGATGTGCACAACTAGGGATGGTACTGATCACTCCTTAAGTTTGATTGAAATCCCACTAGTAGTTGACCTGTGAAGGCCGGAAAACTTGTTGCGAACGGACGAGCAGAGGGACGGTGGACAGACAGACGGCAAAGGCAAAAACAATATGTCTCCCAGAAATTTTGGAAGACATAATTATAAGTATGGCACTAATTACATACTAAGATATGCTGGACACAGTCTTGCTAGCCTTGCCAGACATTTGGCTGTGTAGACTTCACCATAGTCTCGAAGTATCACATAAAATATATTGTTCTTAGATCCTCCTCCTAAAGTTCCTTTGTCCATAGAGCCACATAACAATTCACTGTTCCGGATAACCACAACTATAAATGTATTACATTATTCAATATCAATTTCAGATAATTATACAGGCACATAATAAACCACAATATACCTTTAAATTACACCTTAATGGTTTATACAAAATTATTGTTTGATTTTTGAATGATATACAGTCTAACATGCCCATGTGACCATGTGTATTAAGCGACTTTTGTCTGATGCGGCCACTTTCAATTCCCCCCATTCATTTTCCCTCTATATCTTTAATGTATTAAGCAACTTTTGCTCAACGTGACCGCTAATTACTCAGCTAATTGAGATCAATCTTTTCATTAAATGACCACTTTCACCAGTGCCAGGTAATTGTGTTTTTAGAGAACACGGCCTCATAATGTCACAAGTGTCAACAATCAAAACACAATATATAAATGTGTGAAAAACTATTTGCCAAACCATTTTAGGGTATGCAAATAAAGGTATGTATATACGTGACCTGTATTATCCAATAATATCGATAAAACAATGCAACGCTCCACCCTTACTCAGATGGTGTATACGCTTAGCTGTTGATATTTAGACTGCATTGAATTGACCTTAAACTTGATCAGCAACCAGATATGCTTGTAAAACATGTATGCCCCCTATGGGCAGCCAATTAGTCATGTGATCAGGTTATTATGCATGACTTCTGACCCCAGTGAACAAAAAATTAATTAGGATTATCTACTGGTCATGACTAGTCACAGGGTAATAATTATTGTGACCCCCATAGGTTGTGTGCAGCAATTTAAGTTATTACAAATCTTACCAAATAAAATATGCATAAATTTTATGAATCATGTAGGCCTCATTAATGACAGCCAAGTTGTTATATTACATAAGACCTTCAAATGTGTATACCAAAAGCATTTATAGTTTAATATAAAAATATCAACCAAGGCAACTTGAGTTGTTGAGTTATTGGTCAGAAACCATCTTAAAGTACAAGATCAATTTGACACTGACCCCAAAATCAATAGGGGTCATCTACTGGTCATGACCAATCATCATATAAAGTTTGAAGTTCCTAGGCCTAAGTGTTCTTTAGTTATTGATCAGAAACCGTTTTTACCTACAAGGTCAATGTGACCATGACCTTTGACCCCAAAATCAATAGGGGTCATCTACTGGTCATGACCAATCATCATATAAAGTTTGAAGTTCCTACACCTAAGTGTTCTTTAGTTATTGATCGGAAACTGTTTTTTACCTACAAAGTCAATAAGACCTTGACCTTTGACCCCAAAATCATAAGGGGTCATCTACTGGTAATGACCAATCATCATATAAAGTTTGAAGTTCCTAGGCCTAAGTGTTCTTAAGTTATTGATCGGAAACCGTTTTTACCTACAAGGTCAATGTGACCATGACCTTTGACCCCAAAATCAATAGGGGTCATCTACTGGTCATGACCAATTATCATATAAAGTTTGAAGTTCCTAGACCTAAGTCTTCTTTAGTTATTGATCGGAAACAGTTTTTTACCTACAAAGTCAATAAGACCTTGACCTTTGACCCCAAAATCATTAGGGGTCATCTACTGGTAATGACCAATCACCATACCAAGTTTGAAGTTCCTAGGCCTAAGTGTCCTTTAGGTATACTGTGGAAACAGTTTTTAACTTCAAGTAAATGTGACCTTGACCTTTGATCCCTTGACCCCAAAATCAATAGGGTACATCTGCTGGTCATGACCAATCACGATACAAAGTTTGAAGTTCCTAGGCCTAACTAAGCGTTCTTATGTTATTGATGGGAAACCGCTTTTTTTTCCTACAAGGTCAATGTGACCTTGACATTTGACCCCAAAATCAATAGGGGTCATCTACCTGTCATGACCAATCACCATAACAAGTTTGAAGTTCCTAGGCCTAAGCGTTCTTAAGTTATTGACCGGCAACCGTTTTTACCTACAAGGTCAATGCTTGACCTTTGACCCCTTGACCCCAAAATCAATAGGGATCATCTACTGGTCATGACGAATCACCATACTAAGTTTGAAGTTCCTAGGCCTAAGCGTTCTTAAGTTATTGATCAGAAACCGTTTTTACCTACAAGGTCAATGTGACCTTGACCTTTGACCCCTTGACCTCAAAATTAATAGGGGTCATCTACTAGTCATGACCAATCACCATACCAAGTTTGAAGTTCCTAGGCCTAAGTGTTCTTTAGTTATTGATCGGAAACCGTTTTTACCTACAAGGTCAATGTGACCTTGACCTTCGACCCCTTGACCCCAAAATTAATAGGGGTCATCTACTGGCCATGACCAATCACCATACCAAGTTTGAAGTTCCTAGGCCTAAGCGTTCTTTAGTTATTGATCGGAAACCATTTTTACCTACAAGGTCAATGTGACCTTGACCTTTGACCCTTGACCCCAAATTCAATAGGGGTATCTACTGGTCATGACCAATCACCCTACCAAGTTTGAAGTTCCTAGGCCTAAGCGTTCTTTAGTTATTGATCGGAAACCGTTTTTACCTTCAAGGTCAATGTGACATTGACCTTTGACTCCTTAACCCCAAAATCAATAGGAGTCATCTACTGGACATGACCAATGACCATACCAAGTTTGAAGTTCCTAGGCCTAAGCGTTCTTTAGTTATTGACTGAAAACCATTTTTACCTACAAGGTCAATGTGACCTTGACCTTTGACCCCTTGACCCCAAAATCAATAGGGGTCATCTATTGGTCATGACCAATCACCATACCAAGTTTGAAGTTCCTATAGTCTGTCCCATCAAATTTGAACATTCCATTTTTTATTTTAAGTTACATTAAATAAATTTCATAAAAAAAGAAATAGCGACATTTCATTAATAAATTGGGTTTCATATCGACTCCAGATCTTATTTTGGTGTCCAGACAACCAAAATGAGTTTAATGAGCATACAAATGTGCAACCTCATTGTGGCGAATTCGGAAGTACAATTTCTGTTTGCATGAGAAACTCCGCCTTCAGAGCATCCGTACATCAATATTAAATCAACAAACATGACTATAAGAAGCAGTCCTAATTTAACGGTATATTTCCGCATTGTAACGGATATTTTCATACAAATTTAATCTTTTTATGAGATGATTATTTTTTCTGAACCACAGGCCTAGTGCACCGTGAAGCTTAAACGGTAAAAGTGTGTTTGCACAAGAAAATCTTATATTTGCTGTGTTCCGGATAGCAACTATAACACCGTGACGTAGCGCATACACGAGCTGATTATAGTCTTCATTTGCATGTTAAAATTCGTATACGAACTTTAGTGTTACCGGGGGGGGGTTTTCCATTTAAAAACCTAATATATGAACAATATTTGATGAGATTTACAACGATACTTTTAAAAAGGTTAATGAAACTGTAGAATGCTTGGTTTTTAGTCCGACGGCAAAAATATTTTAACATATTTATTTAATGTAGCTTTAATATAATAGTAAAATCATTTATATTAATGTCATGTTAACCCCGACGTCAATATCTCAAGGCATGTTTTTCATTTTCATAAAGTCAGTAATATGGTCAAAATGTTAAAATTATATTTTTTCCCGTTGACTTACGTTGTAACCTGACGTGACGTCCATTTTAAAATGGCGGCGCCCATATAGACGTCATTTAGGGTTCGTCTCACAATTAGCGTGAAAAGTACTCGGTAATTATAACAAGAGGGCCATGATGGCCCTAGATCACTCACCTGACCCATCAAACTCATCCAAACAATTACCTAGACAAGCATTCTGACCAAGGTTCATGACAGGTGAGTCAAAAATGTGACCACTACAGTGTTAACAAGGATTATCCATATTTGTATGGCAGTGTGACCTAGTTTTTACCCAGGTGACCCATATTCAAACTTGACCTAGAAATCATCAAATCAAACTTTCAGACCAATTTCCAGGATACTTGGATCAAAACAGTAGCAACTAGAGTGTTAACAAGATTTTTCTATTTTTAGCTCCGTTGACTTAGTTTCACATACGATTTCGAACTCATCCGAGCAATTACCTAGACAAGCATCCTGACCAAGTTTGATGACAATTGAGTCAAAATTGTGACCACTAGAGTGTTAACAAGATTTTTCTATTTTTAGCTCCTGTGACCTAGTTTTTCATCCGAGATGACCCATGTTTGAACTCATCCGAGCAAGTACCTAGACAAGCATCCTGATCAAGTTTGATGACACTTGCGTCAAAAATGTGACCGCCAGAGTGTCAACAAGATTTTTCTATTTTTAGCTCCTGTGACCTAGTTTTTCATCCAAGATGACCCATGTTCGAACTCATCCGAGCAATTAACTAGACAAGCACCCTGACAAAGTCTGATAATGATTGGGTCAAAAATGTGACCACTAGAGTGTTCACAAGGTCTTTCTATTTTTAGCTCCTGTGACCTAGTTTTTCATCCGAGATGTATCATGTTCAAACTTATCCAAGCATCAACTAGACAAGCATTCTGACAAAGTTTGATGATGATTGGGTCAAAAATGTGACAACTAGACTGTTCGCAAGGTTTTTCTATTTTTAGCTCCTGTGACCTAGTTTTCCACCCGAGATGACCCATGTTCGAACTCATCCAAACAATTGACTAAACAAGCATCCTGACAAGGTTTCTTAATAATTGGGTCAAAAATGTGACCACTAGAGTGTTCACAAGGTTTTTCTATTTATAGCTCCTGTGACCTAGTTTTTCATCGGAGATAAACCATGTGCAAAGTCATCAAAGCAATTATCTAAACAAGCATCCTGACAAAGTTTGATCATGATTAGGTAAAAAATGTGACCACTAGAGTGTTCAAAAGGTTTTTCTATTTTTAGCTCCTGTGACCTAGTTTTTCATCAGAGATGACCCATATTCAAACTCATCTGAGCAATTGACTAAACAAGCATCCACACTAAGTTTGATGATGATTGGGTAAAAAATGTGACCACTAGAGTGTTCACAAGGTTTTTCTATTTATAGCTCCTGTGACCTAGTTTTTCATCAGAGATGACCCATATTCTAACTCA